AGTGGATGCTGCTGATGGCGGGGTGAGGGCTGCGGGGAACCCCCTGCTCACTAACTCCTCTCTCCTCCTCACCTCTCCCTCCTACAGCCCCTCACCTGTGAAGAAGAAGAAGAAGAAAAGCTCCAAGAAGCGAAAGAGAAACAGGTATTTTTCCTCTTGAAAATGTCATTCCGCGCCGGCAGCGGCTGCTGGTGGGGGTTTGGATGAGGGGTGGGAGACGTTACTGCCATCGGGCAGCCATCCTGGGAGGGGAAGGCCAGACAGGCGAGGAGAGAACGACATGGGCTGCACCCCCAGCAAACAGATAAATGGAGGCCGTCAGGGTGTGGGGGAAGAGAGCCAGACCGGTGCGAGGTCTGTGCCTGCCGTCCTCGCTGTCCTGTTTCGCACAGCTCCCGTCCTCTGGGATGCCCGCGGGATCGACGTGCCCGGCCGTCCCTTTCCCTGCTCCCCAGCGTCAGTGTTTGGGCCAGGAAAAGGCTCACACCAGCTCCCCACATCCACATCTCCATCTTCCCTCCCAGCCCCAGGGTGACCGCCTCCACGTTCTCCTTCTGAAGCCCATTTTTAATTTAAAGAGCACAATTAAATTTTAAAATTGCAAATATTTCACTGTTTTCTCTCAACTGTTAAACCAATATTTGAAGAGAGCAGTGGATGCCATCTCCCTTGGAAAGTTCATGTATTTATAATATATTGAACCACAGAGAGGAGCTATCAAAAATGGATAACAGGCTGAAAAGCTGAGCTTGAATCTTAAAGCAAAGGGAGGGGGGGAGGAGGAGAGACAAGGATATAGAAACGTCTGTAAAATATTTCCCAAGGAAGGATTCTTATGGTCCTTTATGGATGCCATCTCCTGATGGCAGTCCTGGATTGGATGCTCCTTGGCTTTGAGCCTTTGGGACCCATTTATGTCCCTGCAAGCTGAGGATAAGCTCAAGCTGGTCCCAAAAGGCAGCATGATAAACCATTAAGCATTGGTGACCGATGGAGGTTGCTTCTAGACACCTGGTAGCACCTCAGCTACAGATCCCTGCAACTGACCTTGCCTCAGGCAATCTCGTGGCCCCTCTAGGCAGGAATTCAGGCCATGTCTTCTGCAGGACGTTGTGCTCCAAGCTGAGATGTGCAGTGTGCCAGGGCCAGGCCTCACCGCGAGGAAGAGCATCCTCCATGCTCCCAGGGTGTTCTATGAGGACCACCAGCACAGTGGCTCCTGTGTCATCCCAGGGATGCTTCAGGAGGCAAGACAGAGGCATGATGCTGGTTTGGCTGCAAGGCTGCTCTGGAGTTATACAGAAAGGGTTTTTCCTTTTGACTGCTACTTGGTCCTTCATACAGAAAACCAGGGAATGGACCCACCTATGCCCCCTCAAACGAAGTGGATTGCAAGACCTGTGGAGGCAATAGCAGAGAAAAGGGACCCACGTGGACAGGGGATGTATCTGATCTCTTTAGACTTGTTATCCTGAGGATCATATTCTCAATGACCTGTAGAGTGTGGTAGTCACTTCTACCACACTAGTGTTTCTCAGCTACCCCCTTGCAGCTGGCTAAAGTAGAGCCAGGGCCCTTCTGCCCAGCTGGTACATGAGGTCTTCTCAGAGTGCTCAGTTTAATACTGGGCCTAACCATATTGTATCTGATTCAAATTTCCAACCTTATGAGACCCTGTACATTCAAGGTACATATCTGTGTCTTGCAGGTTATCTTCAAAGAAGAGAAGACACAGGTAAGAGTTGAGCAAGTGTGGGTGGTCCCTTAGAAATACAAGTTTAATGGTCTTTTCAAGGTCTCACAAGGTTGATGTTCACTGGGTGGGGGCAGAAAGCACTTTTCTTCTGTGTCTCCTTGTGGAATCTTCTTGGCTCTCCCCATTCACTGTGGGTCTACCCTCTCCCTGTTCAGCCTTAAGTGTTCCTCAGTCCCCACAGGAATCAGGTCTCCAGCCCAACGTGTCCAACCAGACACATAACTGGAAAAGACCTCTTGGTATAACCTAGGCCCTGACAACCTCATCCACATTGCATCCATCCTGCATCTTGAGCCTTCATTTCTCTTACAATTTTATTTGCAAACAATATGGTATCCCCCAGCAGTGCCCATGTTTGAAATATTTGGAGTCAGTGGCTTTCCAGGTGTGTACTGGAAGAACTCTCCTGATTCCAGTACGTGTGTGTCCAATATCAAGAGGTATTCATCTCCTCTACAGGAAAATGCAAAGTCACCAGGATGGCTGATCCATTTGAGGGTACTTTCTGGCCAAGCCCACAAGCCAGATTTGTCAGCAGGCACTCAGACCCCCTGTGCTGCGGCAGAATCGTTAATCCCTTTCATTTTTATTGCATGCTCTTGGGCAATCTAGCTATAAGATTGACGTGTGATTGTGCAGCTTTTTATCAGAACAGAAATCTCTGAATTAATTAGCCATTTCTTATTTAGTTCTTCAAGCCCCAAAAGTAAGAGAAAGGAAGAAAGAAAACACAAAAAACAGTAAGTAGCGATTCATGGTGTTCCCTGCCCTGCCTGCGCAGAGCCGTGGGGCTAGGTAGTGCTTGATGTGGTGGGTGCCCTGGAGCTAATGCTGGCTGCACAGCCCTAAGCAATTCTCAGGATTATTTCACAGCTAAACCCAGCAATTCTGGTTTTGCTGGGATAAATAAGGGTTTTTAGAGGCTGGAGATCTTTCTTCTCCCTCTCTTTTGTGCCACCTAATTCCATAATTTTTTGTATCTCATAAGGATGTACAGTGTCTTGTTCACCCAGTCCTGAGCAGAGACTCCAGCTTTTCTGATGAGGGCGGCACCAGAGGATGGTCTGTAGAGATCTGTAGAGCACAGTGCCCCGCAGCCTCCACTGCCCATAGGCAGGCTGGCACACTCTTACCAAGAGTAAGGATCTGAGCTTCTCCTTGTTTGCTGCTCTTGGGGGTTACAGTAGGGGCTACTCATGGTATACAACACAACCAAGTATCTGAATGGGAGCATAAGGCAATGGGAACTAGGGAAGAGACGAGGTTATTTGGAGGTGATGGAGGCTGTAAAAATCTGGGGTTGAGGTTCCCATCTGCCCTGGAGGGTTAGCAGAACACAATCCTTGTCCTGTGCGGCAGACAGTTGAGGGGTATGGTATAAAATGTGGTTGCTCAGGGCTGGAAGGAAGGCCTGTAAGTAAGCCTTCTCTGTCTTCTGGGAATTGCAGCTTGTGGCTTCTCACCGGCTTTCAGAGCTTCTCACCAGCTTTCAGAGCAGAGAAACAGTTCTGGGGCTGAACCTGGGGCACCAAGCCCCCGGCTGGTTGTGCTGGGGCTCAGGGTACCTTACTAGAGACAGAAACCAAGCTACCAGATGGAAATCTGCTGCTTTGTACAGTATTAGTAGGACCTGCCCTTTAATTCTTCCCAATACAACTTCTAGCTCTCAGGCAGAAAGGAGAGAGAGAGGGACAGTAGACCCTGACACGGCCAGTGTCACCCCCATACACACTGGAACTCCAGAGACTGGGAATCCATGAGGTGCCATGCATGTTGCGCTGCCTGCATGAGCAGTCTCTGTTTCATGCAGAAAGCCCATCTCCTTTTTTCTGTGATTTCTGCATGTTCAGTAGCACAGCAGCTTTTTTTTTCCTCAAACTGGGCTGCTATGCACCCAGAAATCTTGGCAGTAAAACTGAGGCTTCCTAGGTTATCGGGAAAAGCAGGCCTCTCCCCAGTCCAGCGTAGTACTGGCCAGTATGCAGTAGCCCAACAGTGGGGTTAAAAGAAAGATCAGATGTGCTGCTGATATGCACTGACCTAGGAGAAGGAGAGCTGCTAGAATCCCTCTTAGGGGATAAACCAGCTGAGGTGCTTTAGCCCTCATCTTTCAGTTCACAAATCAGAGCTGAGCCACTCCTGGTTTCTGCAAACCTCCTTATTGCTCCCAGGCGTGGATCAGATAGGTCCCATGAGGCACCTTGGATCAGGACTTTTGTATAATCATGCTACCTTGGCTTATCTTTGTGTTGAGCAACTGGTTATCTATATCACACAGGGCTAGTTTTTTCCTCTCTAGAAAGAGAAAACTCTTAAACTGGAGAGATTGATGCAGAGGGTGAAGATCAAATGTGGGGATTTTCACACAAATCCACCATGTGAGGGCAAAAATGTTCAGTGTTGCTGACTTCAGCTGTATGGAAATAAGGAAGGAGGATCCCAAATGTGAGGTGTTTAAAAATATAATCATAGGGTGCAAAAAGCATCAGAGAAAACAGCCAGGCGGAGTTCAAGCAATTCCCTGGAGGTTGTCCTTTTGTCTTAAAGGAGATGCTGTTCTCAAGCAATTGGTTTGCTGATTTTTTTACAGTGGCAAATTGCTAAATGCAGTCCGAGCAGGTTGTATCAGTGCTGTCAGTGACTGGTAGAGTGTGGTCATGAAAGCAGGCTGTTCCCAGCAGCTAACCCCCCATTAGCTTTGCCTGCTGGCACAGCGATGCCAGCCTGAGCAGCCAGTTATGCTACCAGATCTAAAATAGCTGCTGTGGTGGGCAACAACGAGAGGGAGTGGGCCCAGAAGGGGACAGGTAGCCTGCCACCCACATCACGCTGCTCTCTGTATGCAGGACTTCAGCTGTTGGCATGGGCAACAACTGCCCTTCAGTAACAGGGCCAGGCAATCCATCAGCAATAGCTTGAAAGGAGCAAAGGGAAGAGCCGCAGGGCACTGAACCTGGGTCCCTGCGCACGGTTTGCTGGTAACTGTCCTGTGGCCCTGTCAGAAAAGGGAGCAGCAGTGACCGGACACCTGTAAGAAGCCAGGTACAATGGTCCTGCCCCTCAAGCAGGAGCTGTGTGTAGGGCAGGCTGCGGCTAGGGAAGATGTACTTTATCTTCATTTAGCAACCATAAGAGCTGCCTGTAGGACTCTCATGAGTCCTTCCCACCCAGAAAGCGTGGGGAAGGCTGGCTGTTACTGAGTGTACTGCATTATTTGGAGCCTGTCCTTCTGCATCTGCTCTTTAATAAGGAGCCTGCACTACAGATAGTGTTGGAGCAAGAAATGTGAGGGTTGGAGTTTTGCCATGAGTTGCCCAGAGGGATGGTGTTCCCCTGACGAAGCTCAGCAATGGGAAGGTCCCTGGCTATCTTAGGGTATGCTGCAGGATGAAGGGCAAGCACACAGCTCTTTAAGGTCTTGAAAGCAGAAAGGATTAGTGCTGTCTGCTGCACTCTTGCATGCTAGTCCATAGATCTTCCCCCAGCAGGCTACAGAGCCAAATTAATAGCTAAAATGCTAGCGTAGATCTCAGTAAGATGGCTTGCCTTGATGTCGGTGTAGCTATGAAGGGATGGAGAATTTCTCAAGCCTTGGTGTCCTCCACAATGTTTCATGCACCAGACTCTTTGGTTTAAAACAGATCTGCTTTCTGATTTGAATGTTATTGACTTCAGCCTCCAGCTGCTGGCTCTTGCATCCCCCCCTATCTGCTAGCCTAATGGTGGTTTTCCTCTCTGCTTCTTAAAGCTCCCGTGGGCGCACCCGGAAATCTCATCGCCATCGCCACCGCCACTCTCGCTCAGAGAGCTCTGACTCCCACTCCCCCAGCTGCCGAAGCAGGTAATGTCACCGCTCCCTGAGCTGGGTGTCCTGCAACGCTTCCCGGTGGGCTCAAAGACATGATTGCAGTTGCCTGTGTGACTCACAGATTCTCTGCAGAGCCTCATCCCATTGTGGTCGCAGCTATGTCACATACTGGGGGTTGAGTTTCTCATGGTCTTGGCCATAGAAGTATTTTGGCTTGAGGAGCAGAGGCTGCAGCTTTTCAGTCTAGCAGTCACTTCTAATCCCCATGGCTAATGATCAGCCAGTGACAGCTGATTACAGCCTAGTCTCCCTTCCCTGGCCCAAGGGCTCTGTACTGCTGATGTCTCAGGAAACCCTTAACTTGGTCTTAGCAATGGAAATGTATTTGCCCATGGCATTCTGTAGCCACTGTCTTTGACCTGATTAAAATCTCAGTCCTGTGGATGACAGATGCATCCTGGGGCCAGCTAAGTGGATGCTGGTGCTGGACTCGGCTTCACTCCAATAGCAAGTTGCATAGTTTATGCACATCATGAGTTCGTTTCACATTTTCTGAGAGCACTTGACTTCATGAACAAACCACCTCCACTCTCCCACTTCACTCCTCCTAACTACTGGGAGTTTTCTTATGAAAAGCTGATGATCAGTGGGGGCAGAAATGCAGTCAGTAATTGGAGGGGTGTTCATGCAAAGGTGGAGTATGTCTTCTCTTAGAGGTGTTTTACCATAGGGACATGCAAGGCTGTGTGAAAGTATGGATTGCCTTGGGCCACCATAACATAATCAGAGCCGACATTTGAAGTTAAGGTCCAAAGCCTGGATGCACAATACTTTTTAAAGTAGTAGAAAAGCAAAACACCCCTTTTCTCTCCATCATGACTCTGCAGAGCAGTCATGTGGAAGACCTGCTCCCACACGCAATGGCCTAGCACAGAGCTGCCAAGGGTTTGTATGGAGCTGGTAATGGGCACTGCCGCAAGACCGAGGAGTAACGGTTGGCCTGTTCATGTCTTCTGGAGGCACAGAGCCAGATCTCGGGAGGAAGGGCATAAAACACGGCGAAGACGCTCCCGGCACCATTCAAAGATCACAGCGAAGCGAAGCTCCTCTGCAGAGGTTCAGGCCAGCCAAAAAGCCAGTCAAACCCTCCCGTTCTACAGCTTCCTGTCTCCTAAGGAAGTAGTAAGTATTACACGCTCTGCTTGTTTGCTTGAACTAGCCACAGGAATGTGGGCAAGAAATCTGCTATGAAATTTTTATAACTCAATTATAGCAATGTTAGATAAAGTTGGTTAAAACTGTATTATTTATTAATGGTGCTGTTCTCCAGTGTATTTAAAGACATTCCTTCCTTCAGCACTTTCGCACTGGGGTGGGGCTGGAGAGGGGAAGAATTTGCAAAGGCTCTAGCCTATGAATAATGAATTGAGGACATTTAACAAAAAAAGTGGCCTTCAGCAATGATATTTTACAGGGAAATGTTTGTTACGCAGTCCTTGCTCAGCTGGATGTGAACTTAATTCACTGGTCTTCATGTCCAAAAATTTAGTCCTTCGGGGGAAGGAAGGGAATCAAACATATATAAAAGAAACATTTACATATAATGGGTTGGTGATTATTGGTGAGGGATGTTTTCTGACTATCAGGATCCTTCTGGGATCACTGTTGCTCTGGACTGACAAGCCCAGGGGCCAAATTCGGAACTTACGAGCAGCTCTCATTGATGCTAATGGGAACTGCTTGTGCAGCCGAGGGTAAAATCAGGCTCAGTGCCTTGGGATGTTTTTCCATATACATGGAAAGAGATGGTATAATACGTGCCTTAGAATTGAGGGATCAGGAGTTGGAGAGAAATATTAGATATAGATTGGTATGAAGTCTTCTTTTTCCATGGCACGTTTCTGCTGTGTTCCCAGTAGCTGCAAAGCAGAGGTGTGGTGCTCTTTGATCATGGTGTTAGTATCTGATAGGCATTTTTGAGGGATAAATTGCTACATAGGACTCAAGGTAGTGCAGAATTTGGTACTCGCGTGTGGGGATGTGTAAAGTTAGAGATGTCTTGAGTACAGAGTCCTCCAAGCCTCAAAGTGGTATATAACTGATATATAACTCGGGAACTGATTTTCTCCTTTAGGCCCAGTCATCAGCTGGAAATAGCTCAGCCATACGCAGTAGCTGCATCAGATAGGAGAGAGACAGTGCCAGCAAGAGGAGAGACTTTAGCTGCTCACCCACACAGATAGCGTTCCGATCAAAATATACAGGGATTATACGTGGGTACAGACAGGCACAAGCTGTCTCTCAGCATTGTAGATGTGCATATTTGCTCTCGTTATATACATCTACTGAGTGTGTAGTGCACGTGTGAGTCATTGCTTATAAAACCATACAAAGCAGAGTGAATAGCAGAGCCTGCACACCACGCTTAGATGCGTGCGTGTGTGCACAGGCAAAGAAAAAATAACAAACTATGAAGCTTTTATTGCCGTCAGCCTGGGGTGTTACCCTCTGTCAGCTTGGGAAGGTAGGAATGAGTTAAGAGCTCCTCCCAGAAAACAACCAGCCAGAGACTGCATTGTGTCACCAGGATTTTGGGGGGGTTTTTGGTCCAAGATCCATATTTTACATAAATGTTTTCAAGTCTAAGCCTGGTTTTTAATTGGTACTAGGTTTCCTCTCTCTGAAGTCAGGCTCCCTGAGTCCTGTGAGGCCGACTGCCAGCTGTTCTGTTCCCTGAGCGAGAGTAAACTCTAATTTAAAATTGTAAAAGCTTTAAAATGAGCTAAACTCAAGCATGCTGCACTCCCCTTTCCACTTGCTTCACTCGGGGTGAATGAGCACACAAGCTGCAGGGGAAATCAGAGCTTCGTAGTTACAGATGCAAGGGGATGGAAGCAAAGTGAAAGTCATCAGGCCCCTGCTGCATTCTTCTAGTAAGAGCTAATAACACAGGCAAGTATTTGAATGACTGAAAAGCATCAGTACTTTTACTATGCAACCCACTAGTGTCCCTTTGTTCCCAAAAAGAAGTACGCTCTCTTGTGACATCATTCAAGAGCACATTTAAGCACTTGTCTAAATTGAAGCCCCTGGTTAAGTGCTGCCCCTGAAATTTTTCTGAATAAGGTCATTAAATATCATGTACTCAAAACTGGCAAGGGAAAAATGAAATGGGAGCTTTTAGTCTCATTTATTAGTGACTATACACAACTCTTTGATGCCCCTTATTTTTGTGAGTTAAATGGTTGCTCCATAAATAGAATCATAGAATGGTTTGGGTTGGAAGGGACCTTAAAAATCATCTGGTTCCAAACCCCCTGCCATGAGCAGGGACCCCTTCCACCAGACCAGCTTAGTTCTGTCAGAATCTACTTTAAGAGCAACCTGGATGAAACCAGGAGCAACCTGGAAATGAAAATGTGGTCTTGCAGAAAATGTTGATCACATATCAAAAATAAATTATTGGAAAATAAAAGATTTTATGGGAAATTCCAGAATTGGGATTCAAAAAATGCCATGTTTCAGTCCTCTATGGGCCTTGGTGTGTCATACTCCCTGCTCTTCCCTCTGGCCTGGGCTTCTAAGCCAAACCATCCCGACCTGAGGAGATGCATTCTCATATCTCCGAAAGAAAAGAATTGTCCAGGGAGGATCCCAATGTGCAGAAGAGACCCAGAAAGACATTACTGGAACAGGCACAATTTCTAACTATGTCTACCTGTAATTTTTGAGGGATAAAGCACACAAAATAATGCTCTGCCCATGCATCTACCTTGCTGCTTCTTTCCCTCTTGGCTTCATGCATAGGTTGATGCATGCACACATGCAGAAACACCCCAAAGTTCCCTGCTACTTTTCTTTTTGGCAGTGAATTTCCAAGCTTCTCTGTCTCATTCTCCCTTTAATCCCATGCCACTGCAGTAGCCACCTATTGAGAACAGGATTGTGGGTCTGTGCCTCAGCATGCAGAGAAACTGTGGGTAATATGCAGCATCTGTTTCTGAGCAGAGTACCCCTAACCTGCTGCACTCTGTCCCACACCGACACGGACGTATTACATGCCCCTGTGCTTTCAGTTGAGCAGTGCAATATAAATACCTGCAGGGTATGAATCTAATTGCCTTTGTTGTACCTGATGAAGATAACTGCACGCTGCATACACTTGCCTTGCCAGCTCCTTCGCTTGCACTGAAACTCATTTACAATGTCACAAACTAACACAGGCTTGAGCCAGATTTTCAGCGAGGGTCAGTGGGGTACGGTTGTTCTAAATGATGCTGTTTGCGCTCGTGTGCGTGCGGAGAGGTAGAAATGGGGAAATATTGTGCAGGAGGGCTCAGGGAACCTCACAGCAGCAGACCTGCATGTTGGCTTGCTGTTGCTCTATGGTTTATAGCCTGGGTTTTGGTTTACATAGGAAAAGCTATTCTTTTAACTGTTAGGCAGCATGTTTCTGACAACAAACAGTGCCCCTGAAGAGCAGAAAGGCAAAGCTTTCCATAAATATGGAAGCTGTTCTCTTTTTGCTTTTCCTTTTCTCCCCTCCCAGCCAGGAGTCTGAGGTTACCCCTGGTTATTGTCTGGTAAATTTGCAGCTCGAGGCAGGGAGGCCAGCAGCCTGGGGAGGAGGAGGGATGCCTGCAGCCATGGGAGGGCCATGCTGCACACAAAGGAGGCAGTGGAAGGCAAACCCTTGCTCCAAAGCAGTGCCAGCCTGGCCTGGGCTGAAGTGGGGACACGCTGGCCTGCATCACACAACGCTGGCTGCACCCAGCAGGCTTGAGAGGTCTTTGCAAAGGAACAAACTTTGCTTGGCATTCTCAAGAGTTTACCCCCAGCAATGGATCTGTGAGCCAGGCTGCTCAGCACTGTTGCCGTCCAGCCCCAATTAACCCAAGCTCTGACCTTGCGGGGACAGCTGTGTCATTGCCTCTATGCTCCTGGACTTAGCTTGGCCCCTGTGGTAGAGAAAGCCTCCTGCTGACCTCTCCACCTAGCAGACCTAGGAAAGACAGAAAATGTTTTCCACTCAGTATTCCTTGAGTCAGGGATTCGTAATTGTGCAAAAAGACGTTATATTGTGTTCCTACAGCACTGCTATTTTTTGTACTCCCTTAAGAGGAGGTTGGCTTTTCAGCTGGGGCAAATCCTCAGAGAGGTGAGCCTGTTTGCCCCCGGCTCTTGGAGACGGAGGTACCCCAGGCCGGGCGTGCAGTCTCTTTCCTCTGAGCAGGTGCTGCTCCCTGCGCCGGCAGCTGTCTGCCAGCCCCTCGCCGAGAGCAAGGCACGCCGGGGTCATTGACGTGAGCTTTTTATTCCTTTCATTATTACAATGCGCAGAAAAAGAGAGAAAGGGAGACATTATGCACTTCTGAAAAAGAAATTAACTCCACTTTGAAGCGAGTTGCAAAACAAGAGAAAAAAGACCAAAGAAAGAAATCCTCCAGCTATAAGTGGGGCTGTGCCAGGCTGCTCGTTGATGGGTCTCAGTCCCCTTATGGCTGAGAAAATGTATAGTCGTCTCTCGCCTCAGGGCTGTTTGCAGCACACTAAATGGACTTGTTTGGTTTAATTGGATGATGAGTAGTGATTGTGTTTTTGTAACCTATTAGACTGCACTGCCTCTTGGTCTAGGATCACACTCAAAATTAAAGTCTGGAGTGCGAGTGAGGGGCTCATTTCTACTCCCCCTTCATCTTGTTTAAAAAATTATTTGAAACAAAAAACATCCAATAAATATAGATCTTGGGTTCCCTTGAGGGCAGCAGTAGGTCCCCTGCTGAAAGCTGGAGCAGGCAAAGTTCACTGAGTTCATTTAATT